ATCATTGTCCCCTCAATAGTCACTTTTGTTAACATGACAGAGCCTGTGATGCCTGTACGATCAATCTCACAGCGCTCAAAGAAGCTTTATTTAATATTCTGAATGTTTGTGAGGCAAACACCTACTATCTATGTAAAGACATAGAATAGTAATATTTACCTGAGCGGGGAATAGACTCCCTCTGTGTGGGTAATCTTGTAAAGCTCGACTAAGTACAGCACTCGAGGAGGAGGCACCTGGAGGTAGTTTTCCTCCACTAATTGTATTGTTATGCTTAAAAGAATGATCAGGGATCTGCTATAGAAACATAGGATATCAATAGGTCTGCTTGTCATGGTCCCTGTTAATTATATTGTTTTCCTCGCAGATACAAATATGTGACAGTGGGAAGCGACGCAGAAAGTGTGCAGACAGGTGGAAGCGGTCGACGTCTGATGGATTTCCAACGCCAGGGTTTTCCAGTGATTGCCCTTTCTGCTTATTCTCATCAAAGCCACTTTACAAAGTCACTGCACAGTATGAAGGAAGAATGCAAATTAATACAAAAGACACCATTGGAATCCCATTATCCTTTTTATTTCTGTATTATTTCTGTATTTACACTCACAAGAACCCAACACACTGCACTGCACCTTTGTCAACACACTTATGGCACACCATACAATTTACCATACAATTTAACATTTGACTCATGGAAATAAGTCTCTTTTTATGTGTGGCTTCAACTTCATCCTTAAAAGACTTTCACATGCAGCACAATGAAAAGCCATCAAAGTGATTTCTGGGTGGTCGGAAGTTGGATCGGATCACCTCAGCTATAAAATGCTCTTTGCAGCTCATCGGTAGATTAACAGTTGATGTTATTGTGGTTGGTGTTGAAGAGGCGGTTTTGCGCCACAACTTTGTTGGCATAGAATCTAAAGTGAACAAGATGGTGCAACTTTCTTCTTAAGAGAGCGATTCTCTGAGCAGCTAAATAGATTTAGAACTTTCTTTGGATGCAAATTCAGGCTACAAATTGATGGTTCTTTTGAGGTCCTAGTAACCCCTCCGACTCCATTAATCCGTCCGCCTCCGCTTTCTTGTTCTCCAAATTTAGCAGAGAGCGACCTGGATTTAAGGGGGTAAGTCTGTATACAGAGCTCAAGAGACAGGAAGCTTCCGTAGGCTTAGTGGATGTCAGCGCCGGTTTGTGTGTCAGGGATATGCATTTCCCTTCTATATTGAAATGCAATAAGAAAAACCTTTGGATATCCCATTTTCCCATCTCAGTCTTGTGACATTAACTGTGACAGTTTAAATGCTATTCACCTTCAACGATACAGAATCCTTTCCAACAGCATTGCTTTGAGAGGGAGTGCAGGGTCGGACTAAAGCTATTGATTTTCTCTGTGTCGTCGGCAGCACAACCGACCTACACATTTACTGACACGGGAGGAGATACGGAGACAGCAAGCAGGCAAACAATGTGACGCTCACTCTCACACACACACACACATGATCGTTCAGGCTTCGCCTCCGTAGTGATCTTTTGTCTTTATCTAGTGCTGCTGGTTAATTGCTCAGCTGCTGGAGGGGAAAAAGGGATGTAATCGACCGGCTCGACACAGCAGTGTCGCTCATCTCCTTCACGTCACTCACTCAGCAAGCGAACGGTTGGAGCCACTGCAGGATTAAAATATAGCTTCCTGGATGTTCCGTATAAATTGTCACCTGTGTCTACAGTAACGATATAACACAAAGTGGTCATGCTTTTCTACATGTGAGCAGATCCTACTTTTAGATGAGCAGTAGTGTATGAAACCAGGTTAAGAAAGTGATTTTTGAGAGCATGTTTTTTCCGTCTCTTGCACCTGAAAGTGGATACCAGGGTGGATAGCAGAGCGTAAAGTTATTTAATGCAAAACCTATCATCAACTGGGAAGAAAACAGTATTATTCATCTTGTAACGTGCCATTGTCCTGTGGCAATGAATGTCAGGAATAAAACTGTATTCAAAAGTTTATTTTTTAGTGTTTACTTAGTCAAATGAGGCAAAAACATTGTACACGTCACCTCTCGGGATTCAAAAACCTTGTTAAACGAATAAACAGGTTGAAAATACAAGAAGTAAAACCTTAACTCAGAGATTAGTTTTTTTAGTTTTTCTCAAGCTGAGAAACAGTTTATTTATTTATTTCCATTCAGCTTTATTTTTAAGCAACAGCTCAGAAGATAAAATGGTGATCTAGCATGCAGCCTTTTAGAGGAACGCATCCCAGACTCCTTGTCAAGCTTTAACTGAAAACTGAGGTTTTTTCACAGCCTGAGATCAAACAGCTGACATAAAGCTGATAGAAAAAATATTTCTAAGATCAAGGACGTCCTATTCAGGCTTTATTCCTTGAAAAGCCATGGAAAATGTATGGATATTTTTTGGTACATCATAAACATTTTACTGAGCAGAGTCTTCACAATACAGACAATGTAGCACATGTTTTATTCAGTTAATAAAATGTATTCAAGGTAATAGTCTATTCTTTCCATAGAGGATTCATTACAACAATCTCATCAAAAATTACGACTTGAAGTGAAATCAAATAAGAGCGAAGGTCCCATAAAGGTTTTAAAGTTTGAGAGCTGCACTAACAAATTGAGCTGTGGTCAATTCTGCAGAGCTTCAAACATTTATGATTTTCAATGTGGAGAACACAGTACCTTTGATTGGATTCATGTTCAAGGACACATTCAATGAGATGGAAACTGAGCCCTCTGTGGGATTCACAAGCGAAGGACCGAGGTGAGGACCACCAGGATACCTTGCTGATGTCAAACTAAATCGCTCCAACTGGAACAGAATCATTTAGTGTTAAATACTTTTCGTTATGGCCTACATTTATGATTAAATGCAGTTTGGCACTGACACCACGAAGTTGCAAGGAGCAATCAGCCCTTCACAGTGAAGGGCACTTTAGGGGAAATTATTTTGGAAGCTCTTTAGGATGATTTAATTTTGCTGCTGTTTGGGCACTTAATTGAATCCTTAAATTGATTTGAACTTTGCTGCAGAAGTTCTATTTTAGGACAAGTCAAACACATTGGTTGATTATTGCTCATAGCGTCAGCTTTATTTTCTTTTATTGTGTTTCCTACTTCCTTTTCTAACTTTTAAGGATTTTCTGCAAAGTTTCTGAGACTTGATTAAAGAACTGCTTGGATTTTCTTCTTTACGGAGAAACAGAGCAAACACAAGATGTTTTGCGAGATTTCATTGGAAATTTGAATTTCGTTGAATTAAGTTAATGAGGACGACTGAATATTCAGCCTGATCTCCAAAACCTGTTCATAAAAATGTATATCAAAATCTTGAACATACAAATTCGTAGTGATACATACGAAATAAATACGGACTGCAACTGATGACGTCACCCTATTCAAAGTGAATGGAGACCTGCACCCCGTAAACACACTTTGTGAAGTCTAACGATGTAAAATAAACGTGTTATGATTGCATGTTTAACGAGAAATCAATGTTAACTTGTAAGAATGGAATGCTAACCCTAACCCCCTCAAAAAATCCAACATGGCGGAGAGACGTTCACTCAAGAATCCGATATGGTGTTCACTCAAGGGGCGTGGTTAACCACCGCCAGTTCGTATGTATTGTTACGAATTTGCATGTTCAAGATTTTCGTATACATTTTTACGAACAGGTTTTAAAGATCACGTTGGAATATTTGGTTATTGTGTCTTCCGGACAATGTTTTGTTTTTCCAGAGAAAAAAAAGGTTATGGTTTCTTAGTTTGATATGTTTTTCTGAAGCCCACCCAAGGCTGTATTATAGTGGACCTGTCATCTGCATGTGGCTACCACATGCTACATGTAGCTGACAGTTACACAGGGGGTGTCTCCACTGGAGCAGCATGAACGATCCTCCCCTCAGTCTCTCACCCTCTCTCCCCTCCTCTGTCTTTTACTCTCCGATGCTTCCCCTGACATACATTGTCAAGTCAAATCACTTTTCTTCATGCAGCCCATTATGACGGAATTTGCCTCTGGGCTTTACAAGGTAGTGCAAACGCAACCCTCTGACTCTGAAGAAGAGCCAATCACAGTTATACTCGTCCTTGAGAAGTCAGTGTTAATTAGGATGATGGCGCAAATGTGTGGTTCTGAAGTAGAATCATAAGCATCGCCACTAATCCGGATTGGGCTCATGTAAGAGTAAAGGTCAAATGTCCAAGGAGAAAAGAATGTGTGTGTTTTTGAGTGAACTGCCAACATTTTGCCCTTAATTAAAACATTTAAATTAAGTGTTTTTTTCCTCTATTGTAATCCCGTCCTTGTGGCCAGGACAAACAAAATCACGACAAATAAACATGTTTACCAAAATACTAATTTAATACTAAGTAAATTCAAATTAAGCCTGTTCCTACTTTCAAGATACTATGAACAGGAGAGCCTTGGGTCGGAGAAAAACAACAGCGAGGGAAATGCACATCTTCATGCAAATGGCAGCACAGGATGGCTCCTCCTGTCTAATGCATAGTAAAGTAATCTGTGGACTTTTAGTAATTCATTCTTTGAACGTCAACGATAAAAATGCTAAATGTTTGTAAATGAGTAGCCTTTGGTGTTGACTTCCATGATGAACAGTGTGAAAGTTGCATCTTGAAGTCCCGATGGGTTGGAATACTTCAGTCCGTTTGGTGATTCGATTTTCGTGGCTTTTGTAGTTTCTGTGAACTGACCCAAATTTTGTCCTTAGTTTAATTCACACTATTTCTGACGTTATTACAATAATACTTGAAAAAGAACTGTGTGTCCCCTTTGAAGGTCTGAGCAGTAGCTGGTACTTCTGTGCCAGTGTGACAGTGACGCTAATGCGTTTTGGCAGATTGCTATCTTTGGAATCAGGTAGCACTGTGTTCCTCTAGTGTATCATCAAAGAGACATTGGTCTGTAGAAATGCATTGATGCGCAGCTGTTTTTCTGAATTTAACTACTACACAAACACAGAATATTTTTGGGGTCCATAAAATAATGCAAATTCTTTTTTTTGTGCTGTTTTGTATTTTCTCGTGGAGTTGTGTCAATTTTAAATTTTATCCTTGCTTTATGTGGCATTAGTCTGTGCTATATTACGTATAAAAATGGCTTGTATAGAACATTTAAAGAAAAAATATAAAAGAACACGTTTTATTTATATAGTGGTGCAGATTGAAAACATGGATTCTTGGGTTTCAATATTTGATATAAGGCAGTGTAAACATAATGAATTGATGCAGAATATTTATGACACTGTACAAACCTTGCAGACACTTAAGGAGACTCAATAGGAAACTATGTTAAAAGTGAAACTTCTACTGTTACTACAACAGCAAATTTTGTGAAAAGTTGGAATCTACATGCCTCATTCATTACTTCAATCTTTGTTGCATGATATTAAATCCTGTCTTCATGCACATTCACATATCCTGCATAGCATACCCACACACAATCTGTTTCAACACCCTAAATTATACTTTTAACCACAAAAACTACAGATGGGTGTTGATGTCAGAAAGTATGACAACATACATTCAAAGCTTCATTTGAAAATCTCCCTCTCGGATCCCACTCAAGAAAAACACATTGTTATATGTTATAAATGGTTTATATGATGCAGATATTTCTATACTACAAGGTAAATAATAAAACGGACCGATAAACTGAAAAAAACCTCTCTGTAGGGTCAGTCTTAGTGATGAAATGGCAAACTGTTACACATTAGTGCAGCCAATACTCTACACTTCACTGTGTATCCCTCAGCGTGTGCTTCATATTGCATTGAGTCACCTTTGGTCTGCGTTAGGATGAGTCTGCAATGGACCAGACACACTAATACTAATATTGACCGTAGCTACAATACGGTGGCTTGCCCTGATGTGGTGCTTGTGTGCGGCAGCGCGTGTCTGTGTGGTTCCACTTGACAAAACCAACACCTTCTCAGGTCAAAGCGTAGCCTTCCAAAGTTCACCTGCACCTGGTCTTCTCATAAAGGCCCACTCTGGCGTGAGACACACGGCCTGTGATTGATGGAATCAACAGAGGGAAGCATTTATTGAAGCGGATAAACGATGGGTCGAGCGAGGGAAACATAGGAAGCGAGACAGAGAGAGACTGAGAGAGAGAGAGGGGGAGAAATGAGCTGCATGTGGCACAGCAGTTAACCTGCAAAAATCAGGCTTTGGAATTGAGGAGCGAGGAGCATCTCTGTGATGCTATCTGACGCGCCGTTATTGCCATGGCATGTTGCACGTTACGTCTACTCATAGATCTGCACAAGTGGCAACATCCGCGCACACATAGATGCACACATCTCTCGGATGTCGGCTTTTTGTGTTTCTCCAGTGGAAGCTAAATGAAAGCATTTCTCTATCGCTATTCGGGCCGGTCTGTGAGTGATGTCACTGAAGGAAGGTGAGGTGTGTATGCTTTTTAAGTCACGTTGGTGTCAAAGCAAAACAATTGCCTCTCCGATGTTAGAGAGGAATCTAAACTTTTTCCTCTTCCAAATTCATTTTTTCTCCACAGTTAAAGCAGCAGGGATGGCTGGTTTAGATATTACACCTTTCGTGAAGACTTGAGATAACGCAACCGTGTGTCACACAGCAGTAAAAGGTGGATGATTAGCTCAAATGGACAAACAAAGTGGGTGAAGAGATATTGCAGTGGGGCCGGTAGAGAAAGGGGAAGGAGAGGACAGGGGTGGTTTCAAAATAAGAGGGATGAGGAGCAGGAGGAAGGGCCCACCAGTCATCTTCTCCTGCACCAGTCTCAATGGACTTTGTCCTTCTGCAGCACGGCCGGAAGAAACCTGAGTGGACACGTTGGCCGGCCCAACGGTCTGTTAGCCATCCTCTTAAACCCTCACTCGGGAGGGAGGTGGGAAGGAGGAGGAGGCAAAGACCGGATGGCTGAGAAGAAAGGAGAGCAAAAAGCAACAGCCGAACAGACAGAGAGGCGAGAAGAACTAAAGTGAAACAACAGAGATTTTATTTATTTTTTACCACATGACAACAACATTTTTGTCCCGTTATGTGGATTGATACCAAAGCAGATGTGGAGGAGAACAGCAGGACTCGCGCCAGCCGCAGTCAGCGTGTGATGAGCGGCCTGCTGTTGTGTACTGGCGACATGAAGCATGTGGATAAGTACATGCATGGTAGGACAACTTTCACAACGCACTGTGACTGCTTTATCTCAACATGTTTATTGACTTCTAATCTTGAACCAAACAATAAATTGTACGACCTGTGTTTGAAAAAAAACATGCATAATTAATCACTGCTGAGTGTCTTCAGAATGTGATTAGTTACAAAAACCTTTTAAAAAGAGCAAGCTGTCAAACACTTAATGACCCTTAATCATACACAAATTAATCTGAAATGTTTACATTGCCACACAAATATGCATACAACATGAATTGGGAAATGCTGCCTATTGTGTAAAAACTTCTTCTTTCTGTGTCCTCAGACAAGCAGTTTGTGCTGCAGCTGGCGGTGTGGGGCCTGAGAGGGGTGGCCAGAGTGATCCTGGCCAACAACCCGCTGAGCGGGGCTCTCATCCTGGCTGCACTGTTCTGGGACTCCCCCTGGCAGGGCCTGCTGGGAACTCTGGGTGTACTGGCCTCTACGCTAACAGCTGTAATCATAGGACAAGACAGGTGGATTGATGTGCCCACATACACAAACACACACTTAAAATTCTGTCGTTGTTGTTGCTTGGAATTTAAGCCGGGAACACTAGCTTGTAATTTGCACCACCCTTTGTTGATTGAGGGTTCTACTTAAAATTCATGAGAATAACAGCTTCATAACTGATGGGCCTGTCCTCATCTACACCCACTGACTCACAATTCTTATTTCACCTGATGCCACAATATTTACTCTACGCCATGCACATAATAAGATGCTAATAGGCAATCTTTTTTCATTAAAACTGAACAAATTGTTTAATGGGCCCCGATAAGAAGCCAGATATGATCTTGTAAACAATCCGAGTGTAAATCCCTGAATTACACAGATGAAATGTGACTCCTTCTGTTTCTCTTTGTGTGTTTGTGTGTCTGTGTGTGTGTAGTGCGGAGGTGGAAGGAGGTCTCCATGGTTTTAATGGCATGTTGGTGTCTCTGCTGATGGGAGTGTTCAGCTCTGCAGGACCTTGGTACTGGTGGCTGCTGCTGCCTGTCTGCTTTGGCTCAGCTATGTGGTAAGACACACTGGTTTTATTGGGAGCCATCACCTGGGAGTCATTACCTTCCTTGTAAAGGGGAATGGGTCTTGAGTCTATAAATAGCTTATAATTATTTTCGCTGTCACATCACTGGTTTCCTCAATAATTTGACTTACGGCAATTAAACTGAAATGAATTTTGGAAATGTAATGAATATTTTTTTAAATTATTGACACTTTATAGTAAAAATGTATAACGAAGAAACTAATAGACAACTAATTTGTTTAAATAAATTCATCTTCATATTTAGTCAAATGGTTGATTTCCTTTTGTGGTATTTTTGCAGATTTTTCTTTGAGTGCTCTGTAATCATAAATCAATCCTGTCTCCAAGGGAACGGAGACACTTTTTCTGATGTTAATTGATCTAGACAAATAATAGTTTTTGGAACATTTTGGAAAGGCTCTTTCACTGGAATGTGAACATGTATCTGAAAAAAAGCTTATCACCGAGATCTATTTTGTCCCCACCCCCTGTCCCCGTCTCCAGTGTCTTTCTGTTCAGTGGACTCTCCTCGGTGTTGGATCGCTGGGACTTGCCTGTCTCAGTGTTTCCCTTCAACACCATTATTGTCCTTTACCTCCTCTGTACCGGCCCAGACAACCCTTACTTTCCGCACCACCCGGCTGCGCCACCGGGGATGACAGATCACAATGGCACCGAACTGATTGCAGTAGAGGTGAGTCCAACGATTAATAAAATGTCTGTGCACAGGTTGAGATTAAACGGAAGCTGTTTTTATTTAAGTTATTAAATGTATTCATTTTAAATATTCATTCATTCATCATTTCTTCATTTATATATATTTTTAAACTCGGCATTAATTATTCCACCATAAGACATTTAATGTACATACAGATCTTCAGATAATGTCTACCTCAGTAACGTTTTGTCGACATCTGAAAAGCTTGGAACTTCATCAGCTAATTTGCCGGTTAATAGACTTTCATGTCACCAGAAATACACTGTCCCAGCGTCACTAAGATGGGTGAGGAGCCCCCCAGGAAGCCTGACCACAGTCGAAAGGAAAAAGAAAAGCATACAAATGCTACGACGGGTGGTTTTGCCTCAGAGCCTCAGAGCTGTCCAGGTCTCCTCTGCAGGGACGTTGAAGATACTGAGGTTAATTTCTACAGGAGCCTGGCTTTATACACAAGAAGACACCTCAACAATCCAATTTATTTGAGTTGCGGAGCATATGTGTACTTACCATCGTTGTAGAACTCTGCTCTGGCTGCTCCATCCAGGATTTTATTCTATTGAGATAATGTTTTTTAAATCTTTTAAAATAGCGCTTCTCTGCTCGAATGGAAAAATACCCTAATATGCCCATCAAGTCACATGATCATTAATGGTCTCAAAGGGAACTGTTGGAAGTGAGTGGATCGTTTTTGACAAACACTGAGCTGAACCAAGGCCAGTTATCTTCCGTGTGTCTGCCGTGTTACACCCAAAGCTAACAAGTAACTTATTGGAGCCAAACTATGACTCATCAGTTACCAAGCAACAGTTACTGAGGGCGCTTCTGTTCGGAAATTAGCCCGAACGGTTTTAATTGAACGTTCTTAGTGACTGAAGCTCACAGTGGAGGTAAGGCATTGAAAGTAGTGTTCCTGTGGGTGTGAACAATGTTCAGAATGTGATTGTCAGTCCGGTTTCTTGGAAGGAAATACTGAAGTTGATTTAATAGCTGCAGTTACCTTGTGAAAGGCAGAAAGAGAGAACAAACGAGCAATAAAGCCTCAGGGTCTATATGCTGCGTAGTCACCTTGATTAAAATGCAAGCTCCAGAAAATAAAAAGGTTACTTTGATCCACCAAATTGAAATGTACTGCTGTCCCCTTGGACTGTTACTCACGAGACTTTGGCAAAAAGAATGCAGACTCTCACCAGCTGCTGCAGTCTGCTTTGATCTCTGAGAGCCAGCTGGCATCTCAATGCTGAAAGAGCAACCGTTTGGAAACAGACTGAACCGATTATGTGATCCATTATTATTTCCCTCCAATGAAAGACTTTTTTGTCCACTTCCCTCCATCTGTCCGTCTCTGGCCTTTTTTAACGCTATCCTTTTCACTTCATAAATTCTCTGCTTGGGAGATCTGAAACCTTTTAAATACTTCCTTTTTAATCTCTTTGGTTCTCTTCCCCCCAGTGTCTCTGCCATGCAATTTTCCTTCCTCCCTCTCCCTGGATCTTTCTTCATCAATTTATCCTTTGCTCTCCTCCATCATAAATCAATCAACAATAAACCACTGCTAACCTTATTTTTTATTTCTTATAGATATTTCATTATTGTTACATTCCCTAATGTGAAACAATCCCCCCTTCCTTCTCTTCCACCGCTTCTATCTTTCTTCTTTCATCCAATTTTTCTTTTCTCCTCCTTCTTTCTAATTCACCCGTCTCCATTTCCTCTTTCTTTCCTTCCCCCGCCTCTCTTCTGGTTCTTTCCAGCAATGGGTGTGACGTAGGTCCTATTTATATTTAACGTCCTCAGCTTGCACTGCCGAGGAGGGCGCTGTGGCAGCACAACTACAACAGCAGACTTTCTGCACACAGGCGTACACATGTATGTACACACAGCAACACGCACACAGAGTTTGTGTGCCTAAGCTATAATTAAACACCATTTATGACTTGTAAATATCCGTGACATGCAAGTGCACCCATCCCGTCTCCACGGAAACTCTCTTCTCCCCGCCTGTGTGTGTGTGTGTGTGTGTGTGTCTGGTTAAAGGGGACGTGTGCTCGTTTTCAGGTTCACACTTTTTTTGGAGTATCTTCTAGAACATGTTTGCATTCTTCAATGCTCAAGGAAAACATTTTTCCTCATAGTCTCTGAATACATCGGCCTGCTTTGATTGACCTGTGAGAAAAAACAATGTGCCTTTGCAAAGGTGTAAGTACGGTGATGTCACGAGAGGAAGGGTCATCAATTGGTTATACTTCCTTTCTGTGGTTGCAGCAGAGACAACAACCCACCAAGGCCCCTAGTTAAAAGACTACAATTACCATATTGAGCCGGGCAGGCGGAGCAAAGGCTGCTGCTGGGTTGATTACCCTGAGGGAGCTGGTGTGGAGGAAGGGATGCAGAACACAAAAGAGTAGAAGCAGGATGCATGCAAGAGGAAGAGGAGCAGCACATAATGTGATGTTCAAGACAAGTAATGTAACTGAAAACTGAAGACATTTGTGTTTTTTTGCCTTAAGACGCAGAATACAACAATTTGGAGTTAAAACCACCGTTTATTGTCTTTATTTTTTGCGTCCACACCCCACAAGCCGATCCCAACCCCTCAAGACATCACGGTACTGAGATGGGGGAGGTATATTCTTAGGAGTCTGCATGTGACACAGGAAGGGAAGCCATATCTGAACGGCTCAATGACTTCTGAGTGTTCTTCCAGTTTGAATGTTGCCCCCCCCCCCGCCCCCCCCAGGCTGGCCATTGAGTAGAAGCCACACATTTTGTCACTATATTTTTGCGAGTTTGCTTCTGCTCTTAGATTTGTATACTACATACATACTATATAAAATCCCTGTACAATCATTTACAATGTGCTTAATCATGTAATCCTCCCTTTCTTTTTCTCTCTTGGCCAGGTTACGCGTGGCATCCTCCTGGGTGTGGGTCAGATCTTTGCCTGTGGAGCTCTGTGGCCCTCCCTCCTCATCCTCGGGGCTGTTCTGCTCTACTCACCCCTGCTGGCCGCTCACGCTCTGCTGGGATCGGCAGTGGGAACGATGGCTGGTCAGTCTCCGTCTGAGTATTCACGTCTTTATGCGGGAGAGTTAGCAAAGTGAGAATGTTCTAATGTTCTCTTCAAGGGCATTTGGTACTGTGCTGACCCTTCAGTCAATGGTTGGTGTCTTTCCGCTGGAAATAATCTGGGTTGAAGTTAAACATTTCCAGTGTCAGTAAATAGTCGCACTGTATAACATTTGGCCCTGGTCGTCTGTGTTTAGTCATGGAGAGTACTTCTCAGCCTGTGAAAGCAGTTGTGCAATAATGTCCTTTGTGGCTTTGGAGGAGCTTTGTGTTTGAGAAATAAGCAATAAGGCTTATGTGCGTTATATACACACATGTGGCTGTGGGTGTCGTCTAAATCTGCCTCACTATGACTCCTTTTGGGTTGAGAGAGAGAGAGAGAGAGATATGTGCTCGCAGTTCAAAAGACTTCAGCCCCCTGCTTTCGTCTGCAGTCAAAAGTAAAATCCAGTGTCCTAAAATACTTTGGTGTATGTGTTTGTAGGTATGACTCATACTGTAAGAAACAGTAGAAGTGGGAGTGAGCTCATATATGACATACTTGTAGAAACACATGGTAACAGTAGCAGACACACGCACTGCTGCAATAAAAAAAAGTCATTAAAGAGACTGATTCTAATGAGGTTTCTTAGGCAACACAGACGTTGAGAAACATGGTTACCAATGCTGTAATCTGTGGAGGCCGGTGAGTATGCAGCTATTCACTGTGGTTTTCTGCAGGCAGCAGCTGGACAAGAAGAGAGGGATATGGTATAATGGGTTTGATATGATAACAACTCTCTGACAATATTGGACGGCGAGTGACGCACACATACACACATTTAAGTATGTATATACACAAATTAGAAAAACAGTAAAACATGTTCCTGCGGAGCTTCCTTCCCACATGGCCATTAGTCTTCAATGACACCCTCGTGTGGACAGGGAAGGACGCGGGGGAGACTGTAGTACAAGATTAACGTGAAGGAAGCAAGGAAGGGACAGAGGCAAAAAGGGGGAAATGTTAACGGAAACTTGGAAGATGGAGAGGAAGACAATAAAGTGTGGAAAGGGGAAGAAAGGAGTGTTTAAAAGCAGAAGAGGGAGGCTGTGAAAGAGACACAAACAAACTGAGTGGAAAGAGGAGGACGGCAGAGTAGCCCAGAGAGACACAGTGAGGAGGCAGCAGTGGGGTGTGGTCACTGTGATACAGGAGCAGACTGCTTCCCCATTGCCTGGTGAGGGAATCACAGCACAGCTGTACATTACGCATTTATACATTACGCATGTACCATGATTTCGCATTTATACCGGTTGACATTCTCGTAATCCATCTTTTGTTCAGCCTGGATAGCTACAGGTTTGGCTGCTATGTGGTGTATGGTTTAAGAGAGCTTCTAACAACCAAAATGGGACAAAGCAAATGACAATGGTGGATTGACACACAATCAGTGGCACTTTAGTGAAGGATAATTCCCTCCCACTCCCCTAGGAGCATGTTCATGCCCGTGTGTGTAAATAATAGATAGCCGCTGCTACAGCAAATAGTGCGCTATGTTGGTCACTTTTTTGCAGAGTCAAACAGCATTCAGTCATTTTTCATGTTATTGCTCTTACCAAGGAAAGGTAAAAATACATTTCTGCTCTAGGGGTCACAAATATAAGTACTGAATATATCAGTGAAATGTTCAGCAAGCTTTAAAGAGTATTCCTTTCTGCAGCTGAGCAGTGGCAGCAGTCTCTGGGTGGGGCCATAGGACTGATGGCCTCTGATTACACACACACACACACACACACATATAGATGCAGTGTTTTCCCTTCCAGCTTGGTTTGCTGTAAGAGGCAGAAATACCCCAAAATCCTAATGATCTCATCTACACAGTGACTCCCTTTATTATGTTAAGCTACACCTGTACAATCGCAAGCAATGCAATATATGCACTGCTGCAGTAAGTGTCCTCTTTGGCCATTATAATATGTCAGAAATTATAAATTCTTAGGCTGTTAGGGTTTAGGAAAGATATCGTAAAAGTGTTTCTAATGTATTGTTTTGCAATATTTCGCAGTCATTGCACTTAATGTTTGTAAGCCCAAATTGGAAATGCTCCTACAATATATTATTCGTTTTTTATTATAATATTGACATAATAACACCTTATAACAGCCCCCAAAAATCATTTTTTTTGCAGAATTCTATTGGTTTAACTTGTCACCTTGTAGCGATGATGTGAGAGTTAACTCCATTGTGTGTCAGTTCCTCATGACATCACTGTTCGGTGCAGCACAGCACTGCTCTGACCCCAACCAGCAGTGAAGCTGCTGCAGTATCCTCCTTGCTGATTCTGAACGAGTCTCGCCAGCCTTTGCAGCTGATCTCTGTGTCCCCACTCTTTTTGATGACATCGTTATTCTCCATCCCGTGTGGGTTGAGAGACACGGTGCAGCTGGAGCTTTAAGACCGGCAGAGAAAAGGTCAACGCTTCTGGCATCACTGATATTTCATTGGGCCATCGGGCCCTCCTGTGGAGTCTGCCTAAAACTTCATCAGACGTGACCTGCTGGTCACATCAGGGCTCTGCAGTAGTACCAGCTAAGAAACTGGATAATGAAATCAGGACCCACATTTTTTAAGGAGATGTGATAAGCATTGTTATTTAACTGTAATTACTTTCCTGGGATTTGTCTTCTCATCGAGAGCTTCCTCTTTTTCTCATGCCTACATTTCTTGAAACCATTGAATGTCGTGACTTACTGGGGAGGAGGCACACATTTCCTCTACCAGCCCCACCCATCATCACCACATGTGGCTGATTGTGGCTGAATACAGTCTTTTCCAAAGGAAAAATGCAATAGACAAATCAGATGAATTACATCTCAGCTCCTCCTTGGTACTGTATCATTTCCTGGTTCTGTTTGGATGTGAGGTAGTTGAGAGGACAAAACAACATTTCCTTATTAGGGTGCAGTGCATGCAAACTACAATTTCAACTGAAGACAACCTTACAAGAGTGTGTGTCTAGTGCCACCATGTGGATCGTTCTAGTGCAGCAGCTTTTACAGCCAAATATCTGCATGCGTGTGTATTTACGTTTTTGTGTCATTCCCCAGATCACACAACAGCAGTGACTCATTGTTTTTTTTGTAAAGGTTTAAACACTCACTTGGTGTGTGTGTGTGTTTGTGTGCGCGATTGTTTGTCAGGTCTATCCATGGCGGTGCGTCATGAATCTCTGTACTCAGGCCTGTCAGGGTTTAATGGATCCCTGGGCTGCATGGCTGTTGGAGGACTCTTCTTCACCTTCAGCTGGAGGACACACCTCTTTGCCATCGCCAGCGGTAACGCACGAGCTCACGCAACAGTTGCCATTTATTGTGCATAACGGCTGTGTGTGTGATCTCACATATGATAATAATCAATTGAAGTAGAAAGACCCATAAAGCACAGCACTTAAATTACATTTTTGCCAATGGTGCTGAAACTAATGGTTTTCTCATATTGTCTCTGTCCAGGGTGCTGAAACACTCACATGCAACGCAATGTATAACGCATTGACAGCATTGTTCAAACAAAAACAAACAAACACCTTAAACTGAATTGCATCAAAATCTTTTACATTGTTTTGGTTTATATGGATATTTAACATTTAAATTAGAGCCTCAGCAGAATTGCTCCGGCTGTTTTCTGTGGAACTAAAGAATCTTGAACTAAAACATTTAGCTTTGTAATTGTTTAATAGTTCCTACAATATAACGCTTGATTTGATATGTTCTTGTTTCAGACTGGGCTGCCCTGTCTCCTGATACATGAAAATCAAATCAATCAAAAATCATTAAAATACAATACATTCATGTGTCTGAAATTGCAGCAGGGAGCACCATGGACATTAGTGCTGACCCGTTTGCCAGGTAGCTAATCTACTCCCATTAGGTAAATTGGTGTTAATTTGGGCTTTCAGCTTGTCTCCGTAACAAGGTCAACCGCAGCCAACATCCGTACCTTGTTACTGGACACACGTCAGCGACCTGGAGAGAGATGAAGTGAGTGTATCGCAGATGTATCTGGCCTAATTTCTTCTCCCTCTGCGCGCAGCCTTCCTCTCTGCGTATGCCGACATCGCTCTGAGCAATCTGCTGGGAACGGTAAGTACACACACCTCAAGCCGTGTGTGTATGGAGCAGCAACGCAGAGAAGCCTTTAACGCTTCTATCCATTTCTATTAAGCCTGGGATCATTCAATATTAGCTTGAGATTTACCATGGTGTCAGAACAATATCAAGCTTCCAGCTGGTGGGAGGTGGATCTGCTAAAGGGTGATGAAAAAGGACTTTATCACGCACACTTGTTCTCCTTTACCCGCTTATTCATTAACGTATTTCCTGCTCTAGGTCGGACTACCAGCCTGCAGTTGGGCAGCTACTCTGACAGCTACACTCATGTTGCTGCTGACGGGCAGTTTAGCAGCATACCGCATCCCGATGGCTCAGGTCATGGCCCCTGAACACAACCTACGCTTCCCGCGGCAATGGGAAGCCGGAAACACTGCAGACATGGAGAGCACAGATGTATAACATATTGTATCAGTACTGTATCAGTACTTTTATGTAGGATGAGCGGGACCAAACAGAGAAACAGTTGCATTCTAAACATTTTATGAATTGATTTGTTTATCAATAATAACCTCAGACTCACAATAGGTTTACAAATGACTAAATAATATAGATTCAACTCTTTGAGAAAGCCATCGCTCTACCTAATAATCAAAACATATGGTATGACAGTTGTTGTAGAGACCACAGGTCAACCTTTTTTAATAAATGGGCAACATTTTTCACCAAGCTCAATTAACAGCCATTTAAGGGGAAATAAAACGCATTTTAATAGTTATGGAATCCACAAGTCACTTCAGTTATTGCCAATAGAAACACAAACAGAATTTGACAGTTATTATTTTTAACCCCTTCATTTACCCTGTAAAGACACACAACAATAGAGCACATGAACAACAGACATGAAGATGTATCCCAATGCCGAAAGACAGTGAGTTCACACAGATGACATGAGTGCTCAGCTGCCTCGGACAGGAAGTTAAAGGCAACTGTAATTCTTGACTCTTAATTACAATTATGATTTTTAAAATAAATTATTTTAAAATATAAAGTGAAGCTGTTCCGTTGTTCATTAATTGATTTAGTCTTTTTATCAAAATGTTTCCTGTGCAGATAATTTTTCAGATTTCCCATCAACATCTAATATACCAAACACACAAAAACAATACACTCACTTTTGAAAGTTTTTTTGCCATTCAGGTGAAGTGACATTCTTCCACTAACAATAATGTCCTCTAAAATGTTGCTTTACGTCATGCATCTCTATCTTAGTGCTTTCAGGTTTCTTTGTTTACAGGGTTCTTGGACTGCAAGTTTTTTTTTTTATCACAAAGTACCTCACAGACAATGGTGACGTGGTTGGAATCGAGACGGAATATATACAAAAGTGACTCTCGGTCCGTGATTGATCAAGCAGAGTAATACAAAAAGAAGAAAAAGTAGAAATATAAATACTAGCACAAACAGTATTTTTCTTTTAAGCTGCATTACAAAAAAATGAACATTCCTAGTTTTACTTTCATTTGAAGATCTGATTGTGAGTGCTCTTGTGCTTCTTTTAGAATGACTGTGTCCGCGTGTGTTCACAATGGTTCTGAAGAAAGGCAGAATGAATCTTAATTGGTATATTTGCGTACACTCACACATACACACACATTCAAAGGACCCACACATACACGGTGCACACTCATTGGTGATGATTACAGTATCTAAAAAGGAATTTCGGAAGAGGTATCTATTATATCTAATTGAAGCCAGTGTAAACAGATACGTGTATGTGGGTGTCTGTGTATCTTTGTGTTTAATGTACGTATCTCTTTGAATATATATTTTTGTGTCGTTGAATTTTAGCGTACATGCACTCACATTTTCTTGGGATCTCTTTTTAGCTTTAATGGCTGAGAAATGTCCAATGAAAATGTTTCCTTAATGTTGCTATGTTAGACCATTCTATTGCGTCAATGTCTGTCGACAGTAGGTGTAATCTTATTACGTGACCGCTTTGTCTTTCACAACGTTTCTTCATGCATGTAAACCATCGTCAAACAGTGACGCTGTGCAGTGCGTCCAGTCTGCAGTCAGACTCTATTTAACCAGAGAGACAGGAGCTAGAAAACAACAGAAATTGTATTGTTTATGAACAAAATAGAGGGAGCAGAGCCCACCGGAGGGGATTGTTCTCTGTCAGTTTTAAGGAATCATTTGATATTCAGTGAAATTGTTTCTACTCTTCATTTGAGCAACTCAATAAACTCTCATGTCTGTGCGGTAAATAAGGAGCTAAAAAGTTTGGGTCAGGAAACCAAAACAATGAGCTAAAAGATGCTGAAATGCAGCCAAGAGCATATTGAGTTGGATGATGACTCTAGGTGAGCGCTTCCACGTGCAAAAGGTCTGATCCATTGTCAAAAATTGATAAAACAAAAAATGTGATCTGCTCAGCTCCCATCTAAACTATTTTGTTGTAGAAATCTTTGTTACATGACTAAACCTAGTAATCCGTACCCTGGGGTTCAAATCCGGGAAGAGACACTTATTTTATAACATTGAATCCTTCAGAATGCTCAGTGTGCTTCCCAATTACTGCAGACACACAGAATCAAGGGAATCCAGGAAAGTCTGTTAAAAAATGACAAACACAATGCTGTCTATGCTGTACTGGAGAAACTGTATCTCTAACGTTTTTCTGTGTGTGCGTGTCTACTGTTTGGGAGCAACGCGTCTGGTGTGTGTTTATTTTCACAGCAGCCTCCCTAACACCACTCCCTCTCTGCTCCTGGCTTCTCCCCTGAGGATCTCCAGGAAGCCCAGTTTCGTCAAGAACTCCAGCCTCTGACGGTCTGTTGGCTGCACCTCGCAGAAGACACCCTGAGATCCTACATACACAGAAAAGAAAGACCAATTAAGATCTCTCCCCCTCCCATGATACAACAGCATGCACCAGAAATACTCTTGGTTAAAGGCAAAGGTTCATATGAGAAGAAATGCATAATAGAGAACTTGTCATGGAGCATTTTTTTTAAACACAGCAATTCAACATTGAGGACTAGTGCCAGCAGCCAAGCAGGCAAGCAAGTAAATAATTCACAAGGACTGAATGTAACGGTTGAAAACATCTACAGGCAGCATATTTGGTAGATGCTCCTCTTAGCTTTGAGCCGATGAGTCCTCCGGAGAAGGTTTTGCAAGCTCCAGAGGCAGCCTGATCTCCAAAACCTGTTCGTAAAAATGTATACGAAAATCTTGAACATACAAATTCGTAGTGATTCATACGAAATAAATACGGACTGCAACTGATGACGTCACCCTATTCAAAGTGAATGGGGACCTGCACCCCGTAAACACACTTTGTGAAGTCTAACGATGTAAAATAAACGTGTTATGATTGCATTTTTAACGAGAAATCTATGTTAACTTGTAAGAATGGAATACTAACCCTAACCCCCTCAAAGAATCCAACATGGCGGAGAGACGTTCACTCAAGAATCCGACATGGTCCGCCATGTTGTTCACTCAAGGGGCGTGGTTAACCCCCGCAGTTCGTATGTATTGTTACGAATTTGTATGTTCAAGATTTTCATATACAATTTTACGAACAGGTTTTGTAGATCACGTTGCCAGAGGTGTATGTAAATATAACAGTTAACGCTGTCCCATATACTCCCCTTTTCAATTTGATCCAAAGCGATGGTTAATGTGTCCGCACACTGTCCTTACCGTTCGCCTTGAGTGCAGTGAGGAGGGCGGTGAGCAGGGTGCGGCTGACGCTGACGTCTACTAGCTCCGGCAGGGCGTCCAGTCGAAGCTGAGAGGGGAAGTGGTACAGGAGAGAGTCGGGGTACTCTCCCTGGTCCTCCTCCATCAGCTTGATCAGTTCCTAGACAGAGGGCAGCAGTGACACGTGGACATTTGACCAATGTGCTACTGAAGATAAAGGTAAAACCCTGAGAGTTAACCATGTCCTAGTAGTGTGATGGAAGGTTGTGGAGAAGCCTTTACCATGCATATTCCTTTGTTGCTGAAACTAGATGATACTACGGTGACAAATTAACAAAGATCATGTGGCAATAAGCAAGTACATTAAATATTGCTCCCTGTGGCGGCAGTGTGAGTGATGTCAGTGTGCACACTGACACACAGAGTGGGCAAACAAGTCCTCCACAGATGTCCGGCACTGACAGAGCCTGCTGGTGAGCAACACCACCTGGTCTGTTTGGCTCTTTCCTTGGGATCAGTTTGTCATGATGAGCAAAAGCGACACTGTAACTGAGTGTGTTGTTACCTCCCATTTCAAACAAACATACTACAGTAATGGACCCTGATGCCCTAATTTCAAATTTGTGTACATCTTTAAAAATGTTTGATATGTCTTGTTCAGGGAACGTGGGAACATTATCTTACTGAAGTTCACCACTAACATAATTTCTTTGTTTACCTGTGTGTGCCATTCACTTCCAAGTAGGTTATTAATCAGTCACAGAGGGGGCCAGACGGTGTAACTAAAGGTATGTCCAAACCTGCGTGTTTATAACTGTGTTTGTGTCTCTGCCAGAGTCTGCCAGTGGCCTTCACTATATTAGAACACTTATAGTAGGAACACAAAAAGGTTTGTATAATGACTCCTCCTTCTTCACATATTCACCTGTGTGCTGGAGTGAGTGTTGCCCCCTTTTTGTGGGTATTTGTCCCTCATCGCAGGCATCCAATTGGCCTGGCACCGTTTGGCAAATGAGCGGACATCCAAGATGCCCAACACACAGCCACAAACACCCAGCTCGTCCTCCAGGATGAAGCAGTACTCGGGGCACAACGCCAGGCATGGTCCAAAACATCTGTGGGAATGAAAAGACATATATTATATATATATATATATATATCCGTTGAGGATGTGTTCTGCAACGCAGGATTACTCTGTGTTTCTGTCTCTCTCAGTGTCACAAACACACCTATCTCCAACGATATCCGGGTGAGCAACACTGGACTCTTGGCCCCCCTGATTCCTCAGGTGGAGTTGGCGCACCATCCGATACATCTCCAACTACACACACACACACACACACACACACACACACACACACACACACAAAATAAATAAAAACATTTTTTTAAATATGGTCATTCGGAGACTTGCACCAAATGTTTCCCCCAAAAAGTGTGTAAAACTGCAGGTGACTGAATTATCTTGGTGCTTTAAAAACGCATGGTTTAATTTTGCAACATCCTGCTGCAAGCTTGCTGAGATTGCATGCGTACATGTTCCATTACTTTCCATCACTAAGTCAGAGTTTATGCATGAGCAGAAAATGTTCTTCCCCCCTGGGTTGTTTCCCTTTTCTCTGAAGGGGGTAAAAAGTTTCCACAGCACCTCTGCTAATGTTGAATA